TAAATTGATATTTCTCAAAAGAAGATATACATCCAGGTATGGTGGCTCATGCCTGTAATCCCAGTAACTCAGGAGGATTGGGAGTTCAAGATAAGCCTCAGCAACTTGGTGAAACATTGTCTAAACATAATCCCCAAACATTCAAACCCATGCTGAAAACAAAAACAAACAAACAAAAAAAACTGTGCTAGTTCTGAGGATGTGGCCCAGTGGTAAAGCACCACTAGTTTAGATCCACAATGTCATTAAATAAGAAAAGAAACTATACAAATAGCCACTGAGTATTTGAACGAAAGCTCAAATAAGATATAAATCAAAACCACAGTCAGCTATCACTTCATGCAGTAAGAATGATACCAAAAAGAATAATAGCAAATGATGGCAACAATGTAGAGTGCACTACACTGTTTGGAATGTATATTAGGATAGCCATTATCAACAATGAGGTTCCTCAAAAAATTAAACATAGAACTATTATAGTGACCCATCAATCCTACTGCTGGGCATAAATCCAAAGTAAATGAAATCTATATGCCAAGTAGACATCTACTTTTCCACATTCATTCTAACACTGTTTAGAATAACCAAGAAATGAAAGCAACCTAAGTGTCCATCAACTGATATAGACAAAGAAAATGTGGTACCTACACCTTCTATCCATGTTCTTACCTTCATTTGTAAGAACATGGATAGAAGATCATTGGGTTATGTGAACTAAGCCAGAGAAAGATAAGTACCACATGGCCTCATTTATGAATGGAATTTGAAGAAGTAAATCTCACTGAATTTGAAAATATATTGGTGGTTACCAGAGCCTGGAGAGAGTGGGGAAAAGGGGAAGGTAAGGAGAGGTTGATCATGAGTGATAAATTAAGTAGGAGAAAGCAGCTCTGGTTCACTATTGTACAGTTGGGCAATTAGGATAACAATATTGTACTGAACATTTCAAAAAACCAAAAGAAAGAATTTTGAAGGTTTTTATCGTAATAAAGACAAATATTTGAGAAGATAGATATGTTTAACCTGATTTAGACATGTTCAATGCATATATGTACTGAAACATCACATTTTACCCATAATAGGTAAAATTTTCATTTCTATGTATTAGGTAAAAATAAATTTAGGTCTGGGGATGTGGCTCAAGTGGTAGCGCACTTGCCTGGCATGCACACGGCGCTGGATTCGATCCTCAGCACCACATACAAATAAAAATGTTGTGTCCGCCGGAAACTAAAAAGTAAATATTAAAAAACTCTCTCTCTCTCTCTCTTTCTCTCTCTTTAGAAAAAATAAATAAATTTAAGCAAAAATTAAAAATGAATTTCCTTTTTAAATTTTACTTTGACCCACTAGTTACTCATAAATACACTCATTTTCTACACACTGTGAATTTTCCTGTTTTCATCTGATTAACTTCTGATTTCATGCCATTGTGCCCAGAAAATATACTTAATATGATCTCTGTCTCCTTCATTAAAAAAAAAAATGGGGGGGGGAAGCATCTAACACATGATCACTACTGGTGAATGTCCCTTCCTCCGTGCTTGGGAAGAATATATGTTCTGCTGCTTTGGGATGGAGTGTTCTATGCATGTCTATGAGGTCCATTAGTCCTAAAATATAATTCAAGTCCAGTGTTTTCTTATTGATTTTCTTTCTGGATGATGTATTCATTGTTGAAAGTGGGTTACCAAAGTCTCCTACTATTATTGTATTGCCGATATTAAGGTTCTCAGTGGAAAGGCCGTCAGGGGCACCAGGGACCATTGTGACACCTGCTATGTAGCTGATGTTGTTAATTCCGACCCTTCTTCCTTGTTCCCTGTTATCTCTAGATGTCTCAGAGATGCCAATCTTCCCAGCAGTACATTCTGTGAAGTTTTTACTTATTTTATTTTATTTCCTATAGATTCTGAAATAAATTCTTGAGAATTCCCTGGTCTGTCTTTGTTCGTGGATAGCTGAATAATATTTGTCTTTATTGTGGGCTGAAAGTTGATATTTCTCACTGTACTATCTTGCTGACAACACTCCCCAGACTAATAAATTAGAAATGCTTTTATTAAGGCAACAAATAAAAAAATTAAGTAAAGAATAACGGCTAATAAATCAATGAGGGAAATGAAATGAAGTTACTCCCATTCAATCTTTTAAAAGTCTAAAGAGGAAAAAAAAAAAAGGAAAGAGTAGGTAAGACCACCAAAAAACACATATCAGACAATAAATGCATATGTAACCATATCAAACATTATATTAAAGAGAAATGTTCTAAGCATCCCAAATAAACATTAGATGTTGCCAAATTTAATAAAAGTTAAGATACAAATAAATGTGGCTCATAACAAAATATAAAGGCACAATAAAAGTAAAGGGATGAAAAAATATGCCATTCACACACTAATCAAAAGAGAACTGAAGTAGCCATATTAATATCAAGGTGAATTTCTGAGCATGTAATATTTCCAAGTTATTTTATGGTAATAAATAGGTCAATTCATTACGGATTGTAATAATTCTGAAACTCTATATATACCAGTAATAAGACTTCAATACTCTTGAAGACATAAAGCAAGTAGACAATTCACTGTTATAGTTGAAGATTTTTATTGTCCTCTCCAAATAGATGATAGATCAACATGTCAAAAAAAAAAAAAAAGAAAGAAAGAAAAGAAATCAGTGAAGGTAAAAACTTCTTGAACACTTTCAAGCAACTCAATCTGACATTTAGAGGATGCTCCACTCAACATCATCCAGGTATGATTTTGTTTTAAATGTGCAACTATATTTACTAAAGTAGACTATATTTTTGTCCATAACACGTCTATAAATTGGAAATAATTTTAGTTATTCAAATTACATTTTTGATCAGATTATACTTTAAAATGAATTAATCAGTTGACCCAGGAAATTAATCTTAAGAAAAATAAGACACTGGAATGAGAATTATGTTACTCAGATCCCCATTTCAAGATCCTCATTTCCCCAAATGCCATTTGTATTGTCTGTTGGTGAATCACGCTGTGGCATTTCCCTGGAGTTATCCTCAGTCTAAGGGTAATGCTTCACTTAGTTTATGTTGTTCCTTCAAGGGTGTCTCATGTCTGGAGACCAATTGGTACTGGGAACAAAGTTCGGCCATCCCATTTTCCACACATTCCTGTGGAACTGGTTTATGCCTCCATATTAGCTGCATGATGTCCCTCACCTTCTGAACAGATACTATGCCCAAGGCACTCCTCAAAACCATCTGAATGAAAATCTCTAGAGTTTGTTTCTCAGGAACAGAATCTAAGTCAAGCATGTATGCAAAGAGCTGCGTACAAAACAGTTTATTGGATCATTGCTTATATTTGTACTGAACTGAAAGCAAACTAAATGTCCATCACTAGTTAAATGAAATTTCATGTAAACATTAGGAAATGACAAGGGAGAACCTTTTAGAATAAAGATGGGTAATAAAAATGACAGAAAAACACACAAAAAATATGGTAACCAAGGACCATAGTCATAGAAAGATGTGCCCTTCCACACTTATCCTTGTTGGAGAATAGAAATGTCAGAGCCAGGGAGAAGGAAGGGGGTCTAGACTGCTGCTGAAGGTCCTAATGATATCAAAACAATACTGGAAGCAAGTCAATGTCAGTAGTCTAAGGAATGTTGGGGTACTTGGCTGACGTGGAGCAATTGCTGGAGTTCTGCTAGAGGTAGAGTAATGGTGGAGCCTTAACAGGAGCAGTGTAGAGTGGTCCAGGGATCCCAAAGCCAGAAGGGGAATAGAGATGGTAGGGATAATCAAGAGAGGTGGCACTTACAAGAAGAGAGGAGATGAAGGTGGGCAGCAGTCAAAGTAAATGTTGTAGTTCAGGGACAGCACTAGAGAGGTTAAGATACAGGGGTCTGAAGAAGCATCCAGAACACTGAGGGGTAGGTAGAGACTGAGAAAGATGCTTTTCCCCATTTTACAAACCTACAAATGCAGAAATGGAAAATGATTATAAAAAGTAACATTTGAAACTACTCTCTACATTCAGTATAAATAAGTTTCTAAAATTCAACATGTTCTCAGTAGCAAGAGCTGAGGTAGAGACGCTATCCTTGCATTTGCAAAGGGGTTCACACTGGTATCTACCATCCAGCATGTACTTCTTACAATCAAACCTTGATGTTCCTCCATCAAGAGACAGAGTTTCTTCCCTGCCTTTGAACTTAGGTGGGCATGTGATGACAGCGGAAGTGATTTCTGAGACCAAGCTACTCGAAATAGTAGATTATCCACCTTGATTATACTCCTAGGACATGAACCTTTGGGAACATGAGACAATAGATAAGAAGTCTGCCCCCTTGACACTTTGGTGCTGGAGAGGTAATGCTAGACTACACAGTCCTATGCAGTAAGATCCCTAAGTCCTTCAGCTCCTGGAATCTGTGTCCTCTTACACAGGGCACCAGATCCAAGTGCGGGAGGCTTTTGGTTCCTCCAACTTCCTAGACTTTGAGCAGTTCCAGTGGACTTCATTGAGTCCTGTCCATAATACTGATTATTGAGCAAGTGTGCATTGTTTCCAACCTCTTTGATTTGGGTGTGTCTGTTGGGAAACTGTAACTCTTTCCCACCAGGCTCTTGGTTGGGGAGGCAGCTGCAGTCAAACTCAAGAATCTTTGAGTGATGATCAGGATGATGGGATGATCATCATGGCACCTCATGTGAACCATTAACCATTTTACAGGTCAGAGAATTTCAGAATAAGTGCTTTTGAAGCATGGCTGAAATCAGTGATTCTCCTCTGCCCATGTCAGGCAAAAATTAAACAGAGGAGGAAAAAATACTGACAGACACTGAGAATAAAGGGGTTATTGAGTCTGCTACTGAATAAGTGGTATAGTTTCTAAAGATGTGCACTATCTTTTAAAAAAATCAATAAATCATTTTAAATGAGGCAAAGGCTGAGAAGAGTAGAAGAATTTCAAGATATATGTGAAATATTGGGAGCTCAAACCTTTTATTCTTGTAGAATACTGTTACCTAGGATGAATTTGTATGATGTCACACAGGGTCATTTACAAAATAAGTGAAAACACTTTTAAAAAGAATTAAACCCAAAAGAATTTTTTAAAATATGCTAACTGACATTTTATTAATTCAAAGTTTCTGGAAACCAAAACTTCTTGAATCCCCCAACTCAACTTTTCAAGACGGTAACTTGCCCCAATTTTCAGGGTTGATGTGAATATCAAGATGGGTTTCTAAGAATTAGTACTAGTGCTAATAAAAAATTTTATGTGTTGTTCCTATTGTATTTAAGTACAAATGAAGTTATCTTAGCCCCATAATACTTTTGTTAAAGGTCTCAACTTTTACATACACAGCATAATTTAGAATGCAAATGACATAGATAAATATTTAATGAATTATCAACTAGAATTCTGAAGTCTAAAGTAAGAACAGTTATGGAATCTGGGGCTTGGAGGTGGCAATGGACGAGAAAAACACTTTCCCTATCTGCAAGGCTGTTAGGTGGAAAGGGAGAAGATATGACCTGTGATGCTGAGTACATCACCCAGACAAGGAGAGGCATGTAATAGCACCAACTTTTCTCTTTTGGATTATCTCTTTTCAACCACGAAACGTGTTCCCCATTATTAGTTGTGTTTAAGCAAGAGCTCAGCAACAGTACCACAGCACCAACTGGACACTAAAGTGAAGCCAGAATTCCCCCATGGAATTTAAATGCCACCAGTCAGGGAAACTGAGCTATTATTGTGTCTTGGAAAAAAGTCTTGATTCCACTGCCTGGCATAGTGCCAGGGCCGTAGTAGACCCTCAGTAAGTGCCTCTTACATCATTAAATGAATACCTGATTCAGAGTTGAACTAAATGATCTATTATAAAGGACAGATAAAACAATTCTACCCCTTCTTCCTTAAAAGTTCTGAGAGCAAGATTCTTTAAGCAATGAATCTGACTTGTCCAGCCACATGCAATCAGCTGATGTGACAAACACCAGCTGATGAAGCAGAAGTCATTCTTTGGATTCTATCTTGAGACAGTTTTTTGCATGTATTTTAAAGCAGCAATCTAGATGTCCACAATGCCTTTGTTCCAATAGAATAATAATCAAATTTTAGTTCTGCAGCTGTGTGCAATGCATATTTTAAAAGAACATTTTAAAAAAAATTATTCCCCATTTCCATTTTTTCCATGCTACTCAGTTTTTCAGTGTTGATGCTATTAAAACCATAGTTGAAAGAAGTGGAAATGAAGAAGAAAGGAACACAGTGAATATTCACTGATTTCTCAGGGGATGCTGATTAGGTAGGAGAGCTTTCCTCCTTAGTGTTATTAAAAGTAGTGTCCTAATTCCAGGCTGAAGGTCAGAAAAATTTTACTCTAAATATTCACATAGGAAGTATTTAGACTTTATCGTTCCTATGGTTTCTGTTTAAATTCTTCATCTTAGCATAAAAGCTATCAGCCATAGAAAAAATTTAAACAATCGAATATGACTTTACTTCAATACAATTTTATGTAGAAAAACAAATGACTGGTCAGATCTGTCCTGTAGGTTATAGTTTGATGACCCCTGTTCCAGACAATAAATGATTTGCTTGCATGGTGCTATATTTTTACCTTGGGCCATGGCATATATCATCTCATTTCAGCCTCAATAGGCAGTTAGATATATCAGATGTCATGAACCCAATTTTACAAATGAAAGTGTGAAGGTTCAGAAAGCTCAAGCTACGTGAATAAGGTCACAGAGCAAACTGTTTATAAGGTCAGAATAAGAAATCTGGTTCCTGAACATCCATTCTACCAGTCAGTAAAACTTAATAGAGTATTATCTTCATACCTATTAATGCAGAAACATTTTGTGACATATGTAATTTGAATTAAAGAACTGAGATATACCTTCCACACCAGTATGACCTGTGCTCAAACATTCACTGATAGAAATAAATTTCTACCAGTGAGGACACAATCACCTTTGAAAAAGAAAATCTTCTTTAGATATTATATTATTCAGAGTGTTATTAGTATCAGGAGACAGCATGTCAACTCAAACTGACTTAAAAATAAAAAGACTGGAGGATTATTGGTTAACCTAATTGGGGAATTCAGGGATAGGCTGGAGTCAGACATGGCTGGATCTAGGAATGAAATATTATACCACAGGATGCAGTCTTTCTTTTCACATCTATTTGACCTGCTGTCCTTCATGTTGGCATGCAGTGTCCCCATGCAGTTCTCCCGATATTTTCAAGTTCAGGTCCTTAGAGAATTAAGCTTATAGTAAAATAAGCCTCCCTTCCTTGGCAGCACCAGCCATAGTCTTAGATTAATTTCCTGTAAGCTCAAAATAGCTCATATTCTTCCCCTCCCCCTTTGCCCCCAGATTCAATCAACCTATGGGCAAGTCATAGCTGATTGCTTTCTACATGACTTACTGGCCCCGGTAGAGATGAGCTCAGCCTCCTTCAACCCTGTGGACCAAGGTGTGAGTGGTTTGGCTTCCCAGTTGAAGGTTGGGTTTTTTCCATTGACAGAGGGAGGAAGCATGTATTCTGGCAACAAAATGTACAGGTATTAACTATGGAGAGACAAGACAAAACAAAAGTCTGTGTTAATATTTATCTCATTGGTATAAAATAATCCCAGAGAATTTAATAATTCAGTCATGTTTTTCAGATATTTTTAGATATTGAGACAGATTAATTCTGAGGGGAGAGTTGACGAAACCCATCTGGCATTTGAACATGGAAATGAAAGGTGCTTAGATTCATGTGCCTCAGTGGCTCTGTGATTTGGGTTTTCATGTTGAGCTTCCTACGGAATGCACTGTGAAGGTCCTATCCCACATTTATCTACAGCCCACTTTTCTCTCTTCACTACAAAAGATGGGAAGACAATGTTCTTGACTTCCTACTATCACTAGCACATAAAGGGGGATCCTGTTATGCAGGAATAGACAAAAAATTAGGAAAAGTGTCCTTGGGTAGAGCATTTCTTTCTGGAACAATAAAGATTTGACTAATTAGAAGTAGACACTGTAATTATTTATTCCTGTCTGAATGATGAAAACGAGATCAGGAGACACAGTGACCAAGTTACAACCAAGTGGCAACATGCATGAGAACAAGGAGTCATTGAGCTGCCATAGCAGCCCTGGATTGCCTACCTACTGAGTTCTTTTTTTTTTTTTTTAAAGAGAGGGTGAGAGAGGGGAGAGAGAGAGAGAATTTTTAATATTTATTTTTTTAGTTCTCGGCAGACACAACATCTTTGTTGGTATGTGGTGCTGAGGATCGAACCTGGGCCGCACGCATGCCAGGCGAGCGCGCTACCGCTTGAGCCACATCCCCAGCCCCCTACTGAGTTCTTGCTGTATGTGATGATTCAATTCCTAGTTTTTCAAGCCATTGAAATAGGGTTTTCTGTTTCCTTGCAGGTGAATATACCCTTGTGTCATGCAATTCCCAAATAAATGTAAGGTTGTTTATGGATGCTGGGAAACAGGGATCATAGACACCCAATGTAGTTCCTCTACATACTAGAAATTAACAGACTAACTCATAATAGTCAACATTTTGGCTTATTGTTTTGGAAGGAGATAATGAGTACTTTCTGACAATTTCCCTCTTCAATATTCAGAGAGCCCTCTGGGCACTCTTACAGCCATATGGACCAAGACCTGAAAGGAGATAAACCAATTCCCTGTTTATATTTACTCTGGGACATGGTATTTACTCAGCCGTTTTCCTTGGCAAGTGATGCTGTAAAATTGCAAAATCCACTCCAAAAGCAATCTGTTGATTGTTTTGTTTTGGTCCAGAATTTTACCTAACTGATACTTGGAAAATGCTGAAACATGCAGGAGATAAACATTTTAATCTTTATTAAGTTTCCCAAAATATGTGAGGATTTTAGTCCAGTAGGACAGAAAAGCTTCAAGAAAATTTAGGTAAAGATTTTCAAAGAGAAATTTTTTTTTTAAATTTCTTTAACAGGTATTGAAAACAAGAGAAAATATCCATCTAAATTAAAAGTGAACAAGACAAAGAACAACAATGTAAGAAGCTTTTACTGTAATTAAAACATCCTCTTCATCGAGAGGCGAGAAACAGGTCAAAATGAGCTGCTTCTTCCAGAGCAGAGCATTTCACCTCTTTTCTGATAGTCTAAATCCTTCTCTCCTTGGTCTAACTCAACACTTCTTCATAAACTACTGTCTGTGCAGGATTGTGGTTAAAAAGTGATCTCAAATTGAATTAAAAGACTAATGACAAAAGGAAGGTGTTTTGGGTCACCCTTATCTCATTTAGACACTTTATTCAAATGCAAAGCATTTTACCTGATATTATTTGTGAGTTTTAGCTCATGATTTCTTTTTGTTTGCTTTATGATAGGTGGTGTGTCACTTACACATCTCAAGTCCCTATATTTCAGAGGGAAAGTTTCACTCTCTGCAGGACCTCAGATGCAATAATTTTCTTCCAAGTTTATCTCTGCTGTAGTTTGGATCTTAAATATTCCCCAAAGGCCCGTGTGTTAAAGGCTCAATCCCCAGTTATGGCACTATTGGGAGCTGATGGAAGTTTAAGAGATAGAGCCATGTGGGAAGAAGTTGGTTACTGGAGCATGCCCTTGAAAAAGATACTGGGACCACAGCTGCTTCCTCTTCCTCTTTCCTTCCTGGCCACCATTAATTGAACAGGTCTCTTCTGCATTTGCTCTCACCATGACACCCTCTGCTACCACAGGCCCAAAGTAACAGGGCCAAGCAGATGTGGATTAAAACTTCTGTAACTGTGAGTTAAAAATAAACCTTTCCTTTTGTTAAGTGGATTTTCTCAAGTATTTTGCAACAATGACAACAAATGAACATGCCTCCTCTCTTAAGGCATTTAAAATATCAGTAACTGAATTTCAAAATATTGTTTACCCAAGGAAGTTTTATTCAAAAAATATTTCCAAGAAGTCCTGTATTTAAAAGAACGAATGTATAGCTTGTCTGCTTGAAAATGGAACGCCACCAAGATACCCTTCCCTGACTGTATACTGGTGGACAGACACCTAAGACTCTGTATGTCATTGAAAACCATGGGCTTATGATTGCTAGGGTCCCTTTCTAGTTTCAAAATTTTGATTACATTATACTATTATATTGTTCTACATTTCTCATTCTTAATCTTTCGAGTTACAGAATCCTTACCAACCTATTTATATTGATCTCCCATTTATTAGGAAATATTTTCAGAGTAGGAACATTCTCTCTTATGTTTTTTATCTTCCACATTATTCAATGAACTTTTTGACACTTCCTCTACTGTATTACAAGCACAACAGCACAAAGCAATAAGCCAAACATATAGGCATGGTAACAAAACAGTCCCCTGAAGGTCCCTTCATTTTTGGACGATCTTATCTCCCAAGTCCAAAGCTCTACAGCATTCATCAAGTTGCTTAATGAGATTTTTCTCACCCATAAGATTCCATAGGTTAGTATTTATGCAACTATGCATTTTTTTCTTATACTAGATTCCTGGAAATCTTCCAATAAATTTGAGAAGTATTCACCACCAGATAATGAACAAGCACATAAAGTCAGCTTTCCATGAATGAGTTCTAGATGCAAGATTTCATTTGATCCTTACACTAGTACTGGGGGTACACTGTTGCCAGGTCGTCATTATTGTTCCATTGGTCAGATAATTTCCTAGGAAAATTTAAACTCTGTGGGTGTTATATGATGGTGGAACTGAGACTTGAAACTGATTTCTTGGAACTTAGACACCTAGACTAGCTCTTTCTATTAAATCACACTGACATCTAGAGGGAAAATAAAAGTGATATATTCCTCCTTGTTTTTTAGACTAAATGCATAAAAGGGTGAATTCAGGTAAAAGTTCAAATTAGGAACTATTTAGGTAAATGATTTTATTAATTTTTGCACACATATTGTTGAAGTATTTCATTAAGAGGTAGAACCTAATAACAGATGTTATATATGATAGTTAAGAATTCAGGCTAAAAATTCAGAATGCCTGGGTTCAAGCCACAGCTCTTCCAAGGACCATCTGCCTCACCCTGGGAGGTGGATCATCTTACTCTGCCTCAGATTGCTTTGTAATTTGAGGATAATAATAGTATACAGTTCATGGTCATTGTGAGAATCATAAGTCGATATATCTGAAATGTTTAAAAGAGACTTTAGTCTCTGAGTAAATATTCATTTTTAGCCCTCTATATTCAAATACTAGAAATCAAAACAAGAAAGATACAACCCTCATCCCACCCCTGCCTCTACACTGAATAGGCCTCTCTACAGGTAATCTCCATTAACTCCTTTGTGTACATAGCTCTTTTCAGCATTCTTTCCGTACATTATCATATATGTGTAAGTATACGTAAACATAAATGTTGTTTACAAACACAGTGTGCAATTATTCATATTATTGTGTTACTTACTCTGTTCCTATTCAGCAGTATGTCTAAAGATATTTCCATGTTAGCATGTAGTGTTTTACATTCATTCTCAAATATTTGCCCATTATTCTACAGTATCAATGAAAGATGATCTATTTAACCAAATATCTATTGGTAAATTTTGAGATTGTTTACTTTTTTATTACAAAAAGATAGCCTCTTCAACAAGTAGTGCTGGAAAAAATTGGAAATCCATATGTAGCAAAATGAAATTAAGCTCCTATCTTTCACCATGCTCAAAACTCAATTCAAAGTGAGTCAAGGACCTAGGAATTAAACTAGAGACCCTGTGCCTAATAGAAGGAAAAGTAGACCCAAATCTTCATAATGTGGGATTAAACCCTGATTTCCTTAATAAGATTCCTAGAGTGCAAGAAATAAAATCAAGAATCAATAAATGGGAAAGATTCAAACTAAAAAGCTTCTTCTTAGCAACAACAGCAGCAACAAAACAGTTAGTTAAATGAATAGAGAGCCTACAGAATGGGAGCAATTTTTTACCACATGCACATAAGATAGAGCATTAATCTCTAGGATATATAAAGAACTTAAAATTCTTAACACAAAAAACCCAAGTAACCTAATAATAAACGGTAAAGGAAATGGACAGATACTTCTCAGAAAGTGATATACAATTAATCAACAAATATATGAAAAAATGCTCATTATCTCTAGCAATTAGAGAAATGCAAATCAAAACTACTCTAAGATTTCATCTCACTCCAGTCAGAATGGCAGCTATTATGAAAACAAACAACAATAAGTGTTGGTGAGGATGTGGGGAAAAAGGTAGGCTCATACATTGCTGATGGGACTTCAAATTGGTGGAGCCAATATGGAAAGCAGTATGGAAATTCCTTGGAAAACTGGAAATTGAATCACCATTTGACCCAGCTGCCCCTCTCCTTGGTCTATACCCAAAGGACTTGAAAGCAGCATACTACAGGGACACAGTCACATCAACGTTCATAGCAGCACAATTCACAATAGCTAAACTGTGGAAGCAACCTAGATGCCATTCAATAGATGAATCGATGAAGAAACTGTGATTTTAATATGCAATGGAATATTACTCAGTTTTAAAAGAAAATAAAGTCATGACATTTGCAGGTAAATGGATGGATTTGGAGAATATTATGCTAAATGAGATAAGCCAATCTCAAAAAACCAACTACTGAATGTTTTCTCAAAATACCAAATGCTGAATGAGGTTGGGCATGGAGGGGGAGCATGAGAGGAATGGGGGAACTTTAGATAGGGCAAAGGGGAGGGAGGGGAATAGGAGGGGACATGGGGCCAAGAAAGATGGTGATATGAGATGGACATCATTACTCTAAGTACATGTATGAAGACATGAATGGTGTGACTTTACTTTGTGTACAATCAGAGATGTGAAAAGCTGTGCTCTATATGTGTAATATGAATTGTAGTGCATTCTGCTCTCATTTATAACAAATTATAACAAATAAATAAATGTTTTTAAAAGTGCTATAATATAATTCAGCATTCAGTTTTTAAGGTAGCCCATTATGAAGTCAATCGTGTGTCCCCCTAAAAATTTATGTGAATTCCCTAATGCTGAGTACCTTGGAAAGTGACTATATGTAGAGATAAGACTTTAAGGAGGCAATTAAAAGGTTTTTAGGGTATACCCGATCCAATATGAATGCTTTTCTTATGAGAAGAGGAATTAGAAGGCAAATTTTCACAGAAGGAAGAACATATGAATATAGGGAGAAGATGGCCACATACAAGCCATTAGGCTTCAGAAGGCACCGACCTTTCCAACATCTTGATCTTGAACTCCAGATTACAGAACTGTAAGAAAATAAGTTTTTGTTGTTTAAGCCATTCAGTTTGTGATATTTTGTTATGACAACCCTATATAATTTAATACAGATACATAGAAATGAAATTTCTGGAGGTAAAAGGCACTAAATTGGTTTTCAGATGATTGTGCCAAATTTCACTCCCATCAACACTGTAAAACACTGCTCATTTCCCTACAAGGTGTATTCACCTACAATTTAACTAAATGCAAACATTATGACTTACAATTCTTTCAATCACTCTCAGACTCACTTCTAGCCCTCAGGGTACAGATTATCAAAAAAATGGTCAGTGAAAAAATATTGTCACTATGTCATCATCATCGTAATCATTCTTTCAGTGGAAAATTCATCTTTCACTATACTTCCTCTTCTTCATATTCCAAAAACTTATCAAGAATCTAAATGGAAGGTGTTAGGAGAGATGCTGAATCTGTTATGCTCTCCAGGTTCCTTCATTTTGATTTCTCTATCTGAATTCCCCTAATAGTCTCCTAATTTGATCTCACCATGTCTAGTCTCTCGCCATTCCAATTCATGCAGCCATCACTGGATATTTTAATACGTGTTAGCACGAAAGTAAATGTCAGATGGGTTAAGATGGGATAATCACACATTCAAATTCATGGGCTGTGATACAGCCACATTGTTCTAAAATGTCTTGCAGGCTGTGTTAACTTTCATCATTTTCTTCTTAAGTCAGGTATTCCAAAGCAGCTGTTGAACCTGGAACTTGATCCCTTAGCCCCGAGCCAATTAGCTTCATCCAGTTACCTCAGTATGTATACAGATATGTTCATATTTTATGTGTCACAACATGAAAAAGGTCAGAAAGCACTGGCTTAAGTCATTCCCACTTGATGTTTTATAAAGCAATTGAAAGTAAAACCTGATATTTGTTTTATATTTCTAATATATTTTTCATAAACTTAGTGAATAGAAAGAAGAAATAGTTACATGATCCCCAGCATCTTCTGAAACCAGCATCTAGTATGAAGAGAGTTTGTTCACTGAGGGATAAGGGAATGAAGAGGGAAAGAGGAAAATCCAGTAAGAGAAAGCTCTGTCAAGGAGACCACCAGTAAAATGACTAGGTATTGGATTATACATTTGGAGTAGTTTTCAGAATCATTTGCAGAGAAATAAAGGAAAAACATGTACATCTATCCATTGTTCCTCTACCCACATTGGTCACTGGTGACCCCATGTGCTTAATTAACCCACACTTCTGTATTGTACATGTGTGAGTAGCCCTGGGGTTGCAAGAGTTTAGGTAAGTCTCAGAGCAGGATGTAAGAGATGGGGTACAACCTTCAAGAATTTCCTTTTATTGCTATTCATTTGTGACAAACAGAAATCTAAGTCTGCACAGAATCATTTGTAGTAAGCATCGCTGGAATAGGAAGCAGGTCAGAGAATGTAAGATATCCACATGAAGCACCCAATCCAGCAGTTATACAGGTACTCAAAAGCACATCACAGGAGGAACGTAGAAGTGTATCCTAAGAACACCAGTAGCAAGGGTGCACTAAGCACTCACTATGTGCCATTCCCCCAGGAACTCATCAAATCATCTCAACAGGAAAGAGTCTGGGCTTTCAAAGACTAGAATAACCAAAGAAATCCCCAAAGTCAATCATATCTCTGTGAGGGAGAAACTTAGGATTGAATAACTTCTTGACTCTCTGGGACTGTTAACCTCTCTGTTATTCTGGAACTGTGTAGAGTGGAGAAGACTCAGGGGGGAAGATACTATTCTCAATATTTGAAGCATTGTCATCCATTTTGACTATATTTTAATGCACACTCCAAGGCTGTTCTTATCTTTTATCAGTTCAACATTCCAATAATTCAGTTTTAAGACTTAGATAGTCACATGTCTAAGCCAGCTTTCGAGTGCCAAATCTAGACTTGAATGCCAGTCCGCAGTTATTCTACATTGAATACCATTTCAAAAAAATATAGTTGAAAAGCTTCTTACAGAAACATGGTCTATGCACACACATTCACTTTAAAACACATCTGCTGTTGGTCATTTGTTAAGGTGCCTTGCCCTGTGTAGTAGGTGGCAGGAAATCAGATTGAATTAAATTCAATCTTTTTTAATTTAACCACTGAGCAACATCCCCAGCCCTGTTTTGTATTTTACTTAGAATCAAGGTCTGGCTGAATTGCTTAGGGCCTTGCTAAGTTGCTAAGATTGGTTCAGAAAACACAATCCTCCTGCTTCAGCCTCCTGAGCTACTGGGATTACAGGCATGTGCCACAGTGTCCAGCTCTTTAAATTCAATCTTTAGAGATATTAAAGAGATGCTGGGATTATACCGTCTCTAAACTGACAGTAAGATTGAGGTTTCATTAGTTTTAATTCTAGGCATGGTTAGCATGCTTAAATCATGCATGCATATTTTTAAATTTTACAGATATATTTTAACTAACAGTGTTATCAAAGTAAAAGCCTAGTTAAAATTCGTGGATGTGTATAAATATTTTGAAATGGATCACAATTAAAAATAAAAGGAAAAAGACATTTATAAAGTAGAAAACAAATTATTAAATACCACGGACATAAAATTACATTTCAAAAATCTAGATAAGTATAGTTTCTGAGCATCCTAGTGGTCGAAGAATTTCCATAGAACCACCACCACAACAAAATCATTTTTGGATGACCACTTAGTATTACCTCTTCACTTTCCAGACTCCAGACTTCCTTTTACTCCCTTGGACTCACTCTGGCTCTCGACTAGAAGCTATAGGAAAACAAGGAGTTTTTTTTATATTGTTTTATAACTTTGAAAGGAAAGATTATTGTTGTAAAATGAGGAGCACAAAAGGCCTACATGACCAAATATATCTCTCCTACTAACTGCATGAAATGCTTTCAATTTCCATAATTTGGAAAAACTAACAAGAATACATTTAGGTCCATTTTAACCACATAAATCACTTATTATCATGCACAGATGTCAAATAAGAGGGCATTTGTGGTGTCCTGCCCCACAGATTTATCTTAAACTGAATTTCAGTAAGTATCCTTCTGTCTGAATTGAATAAGGACTTTGATTGCATTAGAATCAAATATGCAGATGCTACAAAAAGAAGTGATAAAGATTTTGTATGATCATTTTAGAATCCTAAAAGTATGCAATATGTTGGAATAATGAAGAAACTTTTAAAAGTCAAAATTTACTTGGGATAAATATAGACTCTCTATATAGGGAATTAGCTGATTACTTCAGTAACTTTCAAACCTTGAAATACTACTGTTTGATTCTAAGAGAGATGGATCTCCTCAGACACAACTGTGTTAGATTCTAGAAGGTACAATTCACTGACACTGAAGATGAAATTGCTCAGCTCTACCATTGTGTATGTAGCCCGTTAACATGCCAAGTTCATCCATTTCTCCTGTCTCCATTATTAATCACCTGGTTCATGCCACCATCATCTCTAGATGGAAACTTTGCAATACTACATGGAAGATATCCTATCTCCAATATTGCCACCCTCTAAGTTTATCCTCTACATATATAATATAATCTAGATTGAATTTTCAAAATGCAAAAATGTTTGTATTGTATTTCTGCCTAAAAATGTTTGTATCAAGTTTCTACTTAAAATCCTCCCAATTGTTCTCCAATACTAGATGTTTTTAAATACTAATAATATCCCTCAAGGCCCTGCAAGATATCAGGTCTTTTCTTTACTTCCAGGCCCCCATCAATCACCCTCCCCAGATCCCAACTATCATCACTGAGAACCACTCTACTCCAACCTCAGTAGCCACAAACTTACCAAGCTAGTTTTAGTTTAGAGCTTTTGCTTGGCTGATCTATAAGACACCATTCTCTCAAGTCTTTACATGACCACTTAATGACACTAGTTTTCCCTTGTTTTGCTGCAACTGAACTCTCTTTGTATTTCATTTATTTATTTCATTACATATTTATTCTCTTTTGTTAGAATTTAAATTCTATGAGAGTTAGGAATTTATATGCAACTTGGTCTTGAATCCTCAGTCTTTAGATAGAACAATTAATAATTCAGAGTTAAGATTCAATGTGTATTTGGAAGACAGAAGAAAAGAAGGGAGGGAGGGAGGAAATTGCCTGTGTAAAATGTCTTTAGAACAGGCCCCATGCCTGATTCCACAAGAACAATAATCCCATAATGTCAAATTTATAATCATAAAGGTACACCCATCCTTCAAAACAGAGAATAGAAGATTGAGCTATTTATTATCTTTTATAGAATAGAGAACATAAGTTGCCTTCAAACAAGGTCTTTTCCTGATGTAATTTGTCATTTAGAGCTAGAGTTTAATTAATCAAGCTCCTTATAATTAGACTTAAATTTTCACTACAACAGTGAAATTAAAGATCATTATTGACAATTACACAATGAAGAAAATCAAAGTTAGTGGACTATTTCTTTGGATTACAATAAGTAAACAAACAAATACATAAGGAGACAAATTTTTCATATACCACAAAAAGGAACTGGTATGTCAGAGTAAGTAAATTTCAAGTAAAAGTGTTGCAGATGTATCTTTGTTAAGTGATGGCAAATTTAGCCTTGAAATGGGAAGCTCCTTCAGAAGGAAGGCTAGGCGTTAATAACAGTTTAAAAAAATACAAGGAGATAGATTTGACATTCTCATAGAGGAAATGTGGGAAGTACTTGTTCTCCTAGTAAAAATGGTATTTTAATGGCTTACTGCTCAGAGGAGAATGTTCTGTTCCTTGTCTGTATCTTCTCAGGTTGAGAGGAAAGCAGTGATTTTAACTTCAGGTATAAATAATTGCATGATACTGTCTATAATCTACATGGTTGGAATGTTCCTAGTCAGCAAATAGTCCTTATTTTAACAAGCCATGGTGACCACACTGAAGGGGAAAAAAAGGCTTTGTTCAGTAGATTATAGCTTTTATAGTGGTTCTACAAGGGTTTTTGCCATTAATTATCTAACTTCTGGTCTACCTGTATTC